CGGCAAGAACTTAATCGATCGCCGGCCGAACGTGATGGCGAGAACTTAATCAATCGCCATCAGCCAAACACAATGGCAAGAATTTAATCGATCGCCACTGAAACGTGATAGCAAGAATTTAATCAATTGCCATTGAATTGAAAGCCTAACTAAAATTGCGTAATTAAATTGGCATAATTGAAATTGAAAGAAAGTAAATGGCTGAATCGAAATAGTTGACAATGATCTAATCAATTGCCATTAAATTGAAATAAAGAAATTGATAGGAAAAATGACGTAGAGTCAATTGAAAACATTTTTAGTTGAAATGCATGTTTTGTGGTGGTGCTGGACGGATTGGAATGGAATACAATACTTCTATTTATAGAAGTTCTATCTCAACCTATTCTCCTAATTAATTGCTAGAAAATCTCTTTTGCTTCAATCATTTTCTTTTGAAATTCAAACTGAGCTACGGCCCAACATTCCTCGCCTTCAATATCGATGCTCCAGTTTCAATGGGAAAGTCTTTACTGAAATCTCTCTTTTCCTTGATTTGCTTCACTTTGTTGCTGAAAATAAGTCGTATTCCAGTAGTCTTTCACATCTCTTCTCCTCTTGTTTCGTCTTACTTCAAATAAAATACCTTTGTTGAAGAAAATATTAATTGCTAAGAAGTCGGTAGAAAGCTGCTGGAAGATTGCTAGTAAGTTGCTGATTTTTAGCAACTTCTTTCTTCAAGTTTTGACTGAAATATTCCTTTAAATGGCTGGAAAACCATTTATAGCCTTGACCCATACGCTCACGTGGCTGCCCCTTCCTTTTTGAATTTCATTTCCATAAGGATTCAATTTCCTTTCTTATAACTAAATCCCTATCTTTTAGGAACTTAATTATATCACCTCAGCCAACCTCTCCCAATGTTCTATTTCTGATGAAATTTCCTTTTAAAATTAACACAAATCTCGGTTGTTTAGTAACAACCCTTTTGGTGAGGTGGCTGAATATATAGATATCCTCCTAAATCTTCTCCTACTATTTCTCCATTGGCCGACCATTCTTGGACATGCTCAACCCTTATCAGCTTCCCATTGGTCCACGTCGCTGCTGAAGTGGCTGCCAAGTTTTGGTGCCAACAAATGCCCCCTGAATTTCAAAGGCTTTTTATCACTTATGATACAAAGCGTTTGGAATTTGAATCGGCCTAAAATTGTAATTCAAATTTTAGTAATAAATCCTTTTCCCAACCACCTGCTTTAATGGTTATCTTTCCCAATTAAAGTGGCGACTACACTAATCCGCTATTACATCCAACAAGTGTTTAGCTTGATACCCTCTAATCCCTAAAATCATTCTTCTTTCCTTAAACTTTCTATCTCTGAAATTCTTTCTCGGCGAAATCGTTCCTGACGTCCTCTATGGCTCCTAAGAAAACTAAATCAACTGATTCCACCTCTATCCCTTAACCTTCCGATCCTTCAACTCATGGCAACATCATAGAAAAATCCCTAAAAACTCTATCTCCTTACAAATACTGTCTCAATACCCTTATCGATCTTCGTACTGACTTCAAAGGCTTAGGTCCTGCTCTCCTTGATGAAGCTCCTTCATCAATCTCACCTTTCTATCCTTCGGCCGACGTTCTTCCATTCCTTCAAACCTTCCCTCCTAATGAAAATGGCAGTTTGCCACACTTTCATTTCAGAACATGGCATAGCCCAAATGATGCTTGGATCAATTGGGTCGACCGAGTTGGAGCTGTGAAGGGAGAAATATGGAAGGATTGTGGCATATATGATGCCATTCAGCTAAGTAAAACTAACATCGCCCAAGACAGAGCCTTGATGATAGCAGCCAAGTTTAATTGGTCGACCACCACCAACTCCTTACACTTGAAGTGTGGCATGATGGCTCCAACCATTCAAGACGTGTGCTATCTAACCGGCCTCAAACCCTTTGGGATTGATGTAAGTACCTTATTGGTAGAAAATGATTCTCCTTTCATCTTCCCTTCAAAGCAAACTGGAACCAAATCATCTGAATCCTCTTATGGTAAATACTTAACTTCCACCATGGATCCTCGCGTCCCTGTGAATGATGCTGAATATATTGCCTTCTTGTTGGCGTGGCTGAACAAGTTTCTTCTATGCATACCGGCCTTTCAAGTCACAAAGGATTTCATTCATGTGGCTGTTGCCCTTTCAAGAGGTAAACACCTTGCTCTTGCCCCCTTGGTGCTTTCTCATTTATATAGAGGGATTTATGACTTGCTTACCTCCAACTTCGGACGCTATGGTGGTCCCCTCTGGTTATTTCAAATTTGGCTTCAAGTGTACTTTCCTGAGCTCGGACCTGTGGTAAGGCCTTCGGCCAATGACCCATTACTTTCTGTAAGTTACGCATCAGCCGTACCTAAATCCCATTCGTTTGGAAATTGCTTCAATTTCTTTTACTCCGGTTGTGAACAGAGGACTATCAGCCAATTCCTTCCATTTTCTCATTGCTCACAAGCACCTCGATGGCTAACTCCTCCTCAAGGAGTGTCTACCAAAAAATCAGCTGATAAGCATTCGGCCATGTGGGCTAGTTTCTTACTTTCAAGAGACCTTCACTTCAACACTGGCCCTCTAGGCACAGTAAACTCAAAAGTTGGAGTTGAGTTCTACAATCCAAACCAACTTGCTAGGCAATTTGGTCTGACTCAAATGATCCCCATGCCCCCTTATTTCTCTTTCAACAAAAACTTCCATAGGCGTGTGGTATTTCCAGATGACTCCCATGTAAAGAACGTGTCCTCCCGGTTCTCAAATCTGCAAGCCGGATTCCAATTCCAACCCTTCATCAAAAATCCAGCCTCAGATTCTAGTTTTGATCAATGGTGGTCTTCTTACATTACTTCTACAAGGACGGCTGATAGCCAGTCCCTTGTTGTTAAAATATTGGAATCTTTCAAGTTCATATCTGTGGCCTTTGAAGGGGCATTCGTAATTTCCCGGGCCGTTACCCCAAAGAAGATGCCTCAAAAAGATCCTCCCAAAGATAAAAAACAAACGGCCAAGAAACTCCCTTTCTCTCAGCCAACAGATGCTCCAACAAGGACCAATAAAGAGAGAAAAGCTAAGGCCAAAGCCACTGTTAGCCTCCTCAAGGGTACGATCTTCCTTTATATATATATATATATATATATATATATATATATATATATAAACTTTTAATTGAAATTCTCTTACCCCCCCCCCCCCCTTTTTTTCGCAGATTCAGACAGTGGAACTTTATCAGCCTCGCTTAATCCAGAAGACGTTGAGCCCCAAGATGATGAGATTTCCTCCAGCCAACCTCCTCAGCCTTCAATAACTGAATCAGCCATCATCCCTGATGTTCCTCCAATTCCTCCAGAGGTAAAATTTTTTTTTTTTTTTTTTTTTTTTATCTATTAACATACAAAGATAATCATATCGGCCCAATTGTTAAAATACTTAGCCAATATTGATTTCTAATTCTCGGCCACAACTATTATTGGCCGAGACAAACTTTAATAAAGCTTCCATCTCCAGGGAAAAAGAAAGAAATCAACTGCTCATGGCACTTTAAAAAGAACAAGATTGAGCAAACGTAAGAAACATGAAGTGGAAGAAAATCTAGAAAGCCTTCATCCTACAGAAGACGTGGCCGATGATCCCGTAATTAATGTGGCTGACACTCCTTCTGATTATTCCTCAGATGAAAAAGAGGTAAAGATAACTGTACTTGAAATTTCCAAACTTTTCAATTAATATGGTCCTTAATTTCTTCTCTTTTGCAGCAATCTCCTCTTCTTGACTTGGTCTATAGCCCAGTTAGAAATTTCAGCCCTCTGAAGGATTTTCATGATCCCATTGAGGTGCCCTTCAATGTTCATGTCACTCCTGCTAAAACTTCATCCCAGGGAGATAGCACAGCGGTTCAGTCAGAATTTCCTCCTCCAGAAACCAGTCATCAGCCACTCTTAGTGACAGACATAGCCGAATCATCTAAGGTATTGACTATCTCATGTCCCAAAAAAAAAACAAAACTTAAGACTAATCTTTCCTCATTTTGTCAGGTTGTGTATGAGAAAACTCAAATTATTCCTTTATTTCCTCCACAAAAAGTTCCTGCTTCATCTCTATTGGCCTTGAGCAATTTTTTTAAGGATGTGGTGGCTTCAGTGACCAAAGAGAAAGAAAGTGAATCTTCTGGAGCCACCCCAGTCACTTCAACCAATATCCCTATACAATCCTTAGAAGAGACCAAAAAATCTTTACTTGAGATCTTGAAAAGAGATGCTGCTGATCTTCCTAATTTTGAAAGTGAGCTCACAACAGTGCTTTCTACACTCAGCCAGTACCCAGACTTTCCAGTTGATCTTCAAGCCACTATTACTACCTTTAAAGGCCAGCTACCAACTCTGACCGATGATATTTTCCAAGCCAATGAATCAATCAACCAATTCAACAAGAGTAAAAACAGGAAGGATACCCTTGCTAACCAATTGTTAATTCAAGCTTCCTCCTTTGAAAGAGTGAATACAGAGTTCATCGGCCTTGAGGAAAGAGAACATGTCCTTCAGAAAGAGATTGACCAGATCCATGCTCGTAAGGCCATCTTGTCTGCTGAAGCTGCCACATTGCAGTTTGAAGCTCAAGACCTTGCTCACGAGCATGCAAATCTTCGTGGAGAATTACCTCAATTGGAAGAGTCAAAGAGGCAGGCCATGGTGGCCTTCAATCGGTCCTTAGTTATTTGGGCCGATTTCAAGGAAAAATTTGCAAACATATGAATTTTTTTTATATTAGCTTCCTTTTGTGGCCATCTTAATGTATGATCTTTAAATGATGTAATCTTTTACACTTCAATGAATAAATGGCCTCTTTTGTTACTCCAAACAAGCATCAACATTTTAGCGAGAAAGAATTTATTAAAATAACCAAATTAGCCTAGAAAAATAGGCCGATTTTTATTACATAAAGGTATACATGGTCAGCCATAAGTACTGGCTAACACTAATTTTCCCTTTCAAAGATTGCCGGTACGTACCTCTTGAGGTACTTGCCATTAATGGGATAGTCATGTAATCGGCCACTGAAATACTTCAGCCTATATGCTCCTCCACTTAAGACTTGATGGACTAAGTATGGCCCTTCCCATTTTTGGGACCACTTCCCATATTTCCTATCGACTTTACCCACTGGCAAAACAACTTTCCAAACCAAATCTTCTTCAGCAAAAGACTTAGGTTTTACCCTCTTGTTGTAGATCCTCATCACTTTCTTCTTGTGAGCTATGATATGATCCAAGGCATCCCTTCTAAATTCATCCAAATCTTCCAATTCTACCAACATTGCTTGAGTATAATCAGCTGGAGTTAGATTATTTTGAAAAGCAACTCTGGCTGATTTAACCTTCATCTCCATAGGCAGAACAACATCATGACCATAAGTTAACATGTATGGTGTAACTCCTGTGCCTGTTCTTTTTGAGTTCCTATAGGCCCATAAAGCTTCAGACAAAGTCTCATGCCACCTTCTTGGCTTATCTTTGATCATTTTTTCAATGATCTCAATTAGAATCTTATTTGAAGATTCGGCCTGGCCATTTGCTTGAGCATAGTATGGCATAGAGGCTGACATATGAATATTCATGTTGTGGCCGAATTGTAGTACATCAGTTGCCCTAAATACTGTTGCATTGTCTGAAACAAGTGTTTCTGGAATCCCAAATCTGTGGATGATGTTTTGCTTCATGAAATTAATCACTGTTTGCTGATCAACCGCTTTGTAAGCCTTGGCCTCAACCCATTTAGTAAAATAATCTGTGGCAACAATCACCTAGTGATGGCCTTCGCTTGATGGTGGATTAATTTTACCAATAAGGTCAAGGCCCCAACCTCTGAATGGCCAAAGTTTAATTATTGGCTGTAATTCTTTTGCTGGTACATTTTGAATCGGCCCGTGTCTTTGACAAGCTTGACAACCTTTTGAGTAATTTATGCAATCTTTCCTCATTCTCGGCCAATAATATCCATACCTGCGAATCAGCCATCTCATTTTAATCCCAGCTTGGTGAGCCCCACAGCTGCCCTCATGTACCTCGGCCATAACCTGAAGTGATTCCTCCTTGCTTATGAATTGTAGTAAAAGCCCATCTTCTAACCCTTTTCTGTATAGATCCCCATCTAGAAGCACAAAGTTGATCGCTTTTCTTTTAATACTTCTATCAGCCTTGATGTTTGGATTTCGAAGGAACATTATAAATGGTATCCTCCAGTCATCGTCGGCCAAATCTTCTACATCAATTGTCCAAGTATCAAACATAGTATTTCTCAATTCGGCCGATGGCAAAGATCTTCGTGTTATCTTTATCAACTGCTCTTCTATTCCGACTGGTACTCTTATTCCTGAGGCTGCTTGGGCCATGCTGTTGGCCTCCTTATTCTGCCCTCTCGGCCAAAACTTAAGTTGAACATTATCAAATTGATTGATTAATGAAGTGGCCAGAGAATGAAACGGCCTTAATTGCCAACTTAGGCACTTAAAATCTTCAGAAATTTGGCTAAGGACTAAGTTTGAATCTCCCAAAATCTTTACATCTCTAACAGCCATTTCAATTAAAATCTCCAGGCTGATTATAAGCGCTTCATATTCGGCCTGGTTATTTGAACATTTAAAATCTAAAAAGAAAGAGAATGAAGCCTTTCTGCCAGCTGGCAAAATAATAACAATACCTGCTCCTGCTCCATCAGCCGTGCTTGATCCATCAAACATCAAGATCCAAGGAGTCAAGAATATAGCTGATGACTCCAATTCATCATAAACCCATGGATCAATATCAGTTGAAGGATGATCGGCCAAAAAATCAGCCAGAACCCTTCCTTTTACTGATTTTTGTGAGACGTAGATAAAATTGAATTCCATCAAAGCCAAAGCCCACTTACCTACTCGGCCAGTGATCAATGGCCTTGATAGCATATACTTGATCACGTTAGTCTGACAAAGAATGTAAACATCAACAGGCCGCATGTATACTCTCAACTTCATTGCCGAATAATACAAAGATAAACAAAGCTTCTCAATTGAGGAATATCTGCATTCTACATCAGTCAGTATTCTACTCAGGTAGTAGACAGCCTGCTCCTTTCCATGTTCATTGTCTTGTGCAAGCATACTACCAATTGATTCTTCTGCAGCCGATAAATAAAGCTTTAACGGCCACTTCTTTCTTGGAGGCATTACAACCGGGGGGTTTGCCAAATACTCTTTTATTTTGTTAAAGGCTTTCTGATGGGATTCGTCCCAATGAAATTTCTCATGTGACTTTAATTTCACTAAAGTCGAAAAGACATGCACTCGGCCAGCATGGTTAGAAATAAATCTTCTAAGAAAACCTACCTGGCCGAGGAACCTTTGCACTTGTTTTTTGTTGGCTGGGGCCCTAGCATTTATAATAGCTTTGACCTTGTTCTGATCAACTTCAATACCTCGTTTATGTACCAAGAACCCCAAAAAATTCCCGGCTGAAACTCCAAATGCACACTTCAATGGGTTCATTTTCAATTTGTGAATCCTCATCCTTTCAAAGGCCCTTTTCAAGTGTTCCAAATGCTGTCTCTTGGCTGATGATTTCACAACCACATCATCTATATAAATTTCCATGAATTGGCCAATCATATCATGAAAGATAGAATTCATTACCCTTTGATAAGTAGCCCCGGCATTTTTTAGGCCAAATGGCATCACAATCCACTCAAAAGTACCAATTGACCCAGGACATCTAAAGGCCGTTTTATGAACATCCTCCTCGGCTAAATAGATTTGATTATAACCTGAATGGCCATCCATAAAAGACAATATTTCATGCTTAGCGGCCGAATCAATAAGTTGATCGGCCACAGGCATTGGATATTCATCTTTTGGAGTGGCATTATTTAAATTGTGAAAATCCACACAAACTCTAAGTTTGCCATTCTTCTTCATTACAGGAACAACATTAGACAACCATTCAACATACCTAACTGTTCGAATAAATCCTGCCTTAAGAAGTCTTTCAATTTCTTCTTTAATTTTGAGCATTACTTCCGAAGACATCCTTCTTGGTGGTTGTTTATATGGCTGAAAATCTTTCTTGATCGGTAATCTATGTTCTACCAATTTTCTAGACAGGCCAGGCATCTCTTCATAACTCCAAGCAAAGCAATCCTTATATTCATTTAATAATTTAATCAAATCGGCCTGGAATTTAGGCTCAAGCAAAGCACTAACAAATAATGGCCGATTATCTTTTTTAGTACCAACATTTATTTCCAATAAAGGATCTTGCACCTCTGCTTTATTATCTTCCATCCTGGAAGGGGCTGACTCCAAATCTTCAAGTTGGATTACATCCAGTTTTTCGAAACCTTCTTCAATTATATCGGCCGTGCTGGCCGATACCTCTTCATATAGTTGTTCTTCTCTGGCCAGTCTCTTCTCAGCCAGATATGCTTTCAGTCTGATGCAAGCGGCCCTGAAAGCTTGCCGCTTCTTTTCTTCATTGGTTTTATGATCCATCAGTAACATCTTCAATGTCCTTGATGGTCGACCTGAAAATATCAATTTTCGGCCGAGCTGCTTCTGACAATAATTCTTTAATATCAGCATTAATTAAATTCTTCTTCATTGTTGCCGCTGCTGGTCGTCCCATCCTGTTAATGCCAATAAATTTGATAGGTACAATAGTTTCATCATAAAGTGCAGCCTCAGCCGAATACACCCTAGCTATAAAGGGTTTGTTATCGGCCTCAACAATTTTTACCTCATTTCCGTCCCAAAAAATCAACATTTGATGCAAGGTTGATGGAATGCACATGTTAGGATGAATCCAATCTCGGCCTAAAAGGAGATTATAGGCCGCGGTTGAATCAATGATAAAGAAAGCCGTAAAGGATGTCTTACCGCCAATAGTAATTTCCAAAGGTAGAATACCTTTGGTGTTACTAGATCCTCCATTAAAACCACTGATGGCCACGTCGGTTGGAACTACATCATCCATGGTTTTACCCAATTTATTCAAAGTAGTTGATGGAATGACATTCACCACCGAACCATTGTCAACCAAAACCCTATTGATTGGCTGACCCTCAACCCATACTTTAACATACAACGGCCTCAACTGCTATGTCATGGACAAAGGTGGTTTTTCAAAAATGATTTTATCGGCCTTAGATGGCTGATCCTGAGAGATCAATCCTATCCCGGCCGATGAACTTGTCGAATCGTCCTTAATTTCTGAAGATTCAGCCTTTTCTTCCTGCTTGGCTGACTCAACATCCCTATTCATCGTTGGTTCTATCCTTGCTTCAAACACAGACGGCAAAACAAATACCATGTTACAATTTACCTTGTCCGGGAGAGAACCAAAACGAATTCTGTACTTGGCCGCATGCTTTGGATCCTGGTCTGGCTGATCATCTTTTTCTTCATAAAAGCATGCCTTATTCTCAAAGGATGTAGCGACCTCCATGTCTTCAGCCACCACTGGTTCATTTTTCCTTTCTAGTTGATCATGGTCGATCTTGTCCTCCTTCCTTTTGAGTTCTGCATTTTTCCTTTGCATCCTCCTTTTTTGGGTACGTGTGGGAGGCTGCTTAGGAAACTTTGGGTGACTTACTCGAGTCCATCTGCCATGGTCAACCAAAGGAGGTCTAACCGTTCTTACACGGCTAGATTCTTCTCCTTTTTGAACCCATATTTCTGACTGAATTGTTGGTTTCCTTTTGAAACTAGGATAAAAATATTGTTCTGGCAGGACTCTATAGGCCACCGATGACTGAATGATTCTCACTTCCCTCGGCCCATTTTCTCTAAATATTGATCGATTAATTTCTTCGTGATTCTGTCTAGGCTGATGGCCTAACCTTTCATGGACACTGTGCTTTCTGGTTGATTGGAAATAGCCCCTCTTGTCTGAGTCATTCCTTTGGCCTTTGCAATTTGGACAACAACCATGGTTGATGAGGGCAATTTGAGCTTCTCTTAACTGAATTTCCAAGTCCATAACTTTCTGCTCATCATTACTGGCCGATGAACTACCAAGAACTTTTGGTAATCTTTCCTGTCTACCATTATCAGCGGCTTTTTCAGTTGCCAGGCTGATTATATTGGTACTGACAATATTAGGAAATGGATCGCCATCGACCCCCATTACATCTGGCTTCTTTTCAGGGAATTTCAATACACCTTCATCGATAGATTTCTGCAATACATTTCTAAATACATAACAATTGTTAGTAGTAACAAAAAGTCCTGTCCCTAATATGTCCATCAAATGTTTGCTCACTACTACCGTAATATGGTACTAAGTATTAAGTTATTTCATTTCAAAAGCGTGAGATTTTTTAGTTATCCAATCCATTATTAGTTTAAGTAAGAATAAAAGTGTAGTAAGAGGTGCCTCAATATATTTTGAGATCTTAGGCGAAAAATATAATAGCAGCCTTTTATTATATTACATGTTAATAGATTATTTGTAATCAAATTTTGTTAAATTATCTTTTTCAATATATAATATAGTCAATTCAATCGAATCCAATTAATCTTTCTTGTAACATAATTGATCTTAGATACTATTGTATCAACTTTAATTTTAAAAATTTCCATTTTGTTGCATTGTCAATAATATTTTGTAAGTAATGCATGTATTAAGAAAAGAATCTAGTCTTCTGGTGTACTTTAACAGTGTTTGTTTCTATTCATAAAATTTCTTTTCAAACTTTTATTTTTGTAACTAAAAGCACTCATGGTGGTTTAAAAAGAGTTTTAAATTAAGACAATATTTTCTCAACTTATCATCATCTAATAATTTTAATTTTTAAAATAAAACAAAAACAAAAAATATCTTTATATATTTTAAATTGTTCAAACCTACTATGAAATGAAGAAGTAACTTGGTTGACTATATATATAAAATAATGGATCCTAAAAGATTATTCGGCTAATTGATTTGGATTATCATCTGCATTCTTGTAAAATTGTTTTTTTCCTACAAGTAATGAAAAAGAAGGGAAAAAAATGTGAGAAATAAAGTAAAATTAAAAAATAAAGAAGATACAAGTATAAAAAAAGAATAAGGGATGTTTAACAAATTCACACAACACTACAAGAGCATGTAAATGCATATTCAATAATAAGGGGTAAGGGCCATGTAATGTAATGATAGAAGTAAAAAAAAAAAAAACGAACGTGAATGAGGAGTGGAGAATGACGGAAAAAAAAAAAAAAAAAGGTGATATAAAGATAGAAATCGTTTGGGTCTATTATTAAATTTTATTTTATTTTATTTTATTTTTCCTGAATGGGATAATTATTAAATGTTTATTGGTAGGGTATAAAAATAGAAGGGAAATTTATTAAATGTCTATTGGTTAGGATCTAATAATATAAGGTATTTTTATATAGGGAGGTTATAATATATGGAAATAAAAAAATTTAGAGCATTTTTATTGGCTGGAGTCAAATAATAGAAAAAGTAAAAAATTTATAACCTTATAATATAAAGAAATAAAAAATAAAAAAAAAAATATTTACTAACGAGATGATTCGAAGCAGTGTCTTAATTTAAAAATAATAATAATAATTGGAAAGACTATTTTAACAATTAATATATTAGAAAAAAAGTTGAACATTAAAGTAATCCATGGTCTTGAAAGATGAATCACTCCAAGCCTAAAAAAAAAGCCACTACTCTTCCTTTCTCTTTCCTCTCCTTTCCTTCTGTCAATTTAGCCAAACACAATTGAGGAAACAGACACACCAACCAATTTTCGAGAATATTTTTAATCAATATACAACAGTTGAAATTGTAAACTTTTGAACTAACTTGAAGATGTTATATTTATATTGATGGATGGATAGATAATTTTTTGTTTTTGGAGGGGTGCAACATGGTTAACAATCAATTTTTAGTGAGCATCCTCGTCAAATTCTAGTGGAAAATTTACTAGAAGACAATATTTCTGGTTATATTCTAATTTCTTAAATCAAATTGTTTTTCAAATCCATATAAAAGAAAAGAAAATACATAATCATTATTTCTTAATTATATTTCAAAGAGTAATGTTACAAGAACTGGTCAGTTTTTCTTTTTGAAGACTTCATTTAACACTATCCAACAAGGACTCTTCCTCACTTATGGATAAAAATTAATTCTCTATTGTCTTTAGGTGTTTATCTCCATATTTGCCAGTCACTAACAGAACATATCTTCACACACACACACATATATAATAATAATATTATTATAGTCCCCATATATCTATTATACAAAATGGGACTCAATTACCTTTTGCTGTGGCCTTATTTAGGGCAAGAGAAGAAATCTACTTGTTAGAAAAAGCATCCATCAACTGCAGTGCCATAAATTTAGAAGAAAAACTAGCCAACAACACACCAAAGAAGAACATCATCTTGTCCAAAAGCAAATATCTAATGATTCACATACTTGAATTAGTTGACATTGAATCCTAAAGTCACAGTTCTGATTTCATAACTACAGATTATTCAATGACCTAAAAGCATTGGGAAAGAGTACACTGTTTTTGATAGTCTATTGGTTTATATCACCAAAGCGTATGCAATCAAAAACACGACTGCAAAAGGATCATGTTGAAGATACTCTTGAAACCTGCATCCTGACCGGTGCTTGAAGTTCAAGATAATAATCATCTATTTCTATTCGTTCGTTGAACTAGAAACGGTTTGAACGTCATCAGCACTCCAATTGCTACAATGACATTCAGGATGAAGAAAATCATCTGGTCACCTGCATAGATGATAATTAGTATAGTTATCAGATGGATATAGAATGCTAGCCCGGTACAGAAAATGGAATAATAAAATATCATATAGAAATAAACATTGGCTGCGTACTTCATAGATCTATTATAATTGTTTGGGTGATCCAACATTACTTTAGATACCAATAGGTAATCAGCAAAAGTCAAAAAATGAATATCTGGCATTACAAGGGGAAAGTCGACTTAGGATAGATTTACTGAAACAGAATAGAATGTGATACTTGATGCATCCACATACGATGCCATGTTTTGAAACCGATGAAAGAAAAAAAGATAATTGCCAATGGAAATGCTTTGTAAACACAAGTCTTTTTTGTACAAGAGATATGGAAAAAGGAAGAACAACTTCCCCATTGTTCAGAACTTTCTCTAATGGCAATGTTTAGGATTAATTTTGTACATCTATTCGTTAAACCCACTATGTGAAGGGGGAACCTTCAAGTAGTAAGTTATGGACATGATAACAAAAAGGTCTCCAAATTTATACAACAACTGTGAAGAAATTACCTGGAAGAAATGCAGCATATTGACGTGCTTGTGCCCAGGAAAATCTGCATCAACCAAATTCAACTAAATAAATGAATGATTAATATTGAAGAAATAAAAAGATCAATAATTTGCAACATAACTTGTTATTATATAGCACTTGTGCTATATATTTTGACAAACTAAAAATGGTGTACGCAAAAAGTATAGTGACTGTAGTACATTAGCATTATTTTGAAAGGACGTGCCAATAAATTAATCTTATACTGTTCAGAGAACTAAAACCATGCCAGAATTGTTTTAATCCTTATAGTATGTTTCTGTTGTTATAAATTCTGCATTTCATAATAACAGTAGATGGTGGTAGTTTCTCACATATATATGTACGATGGATATAGGGATGAATGGAGGCTCTGCTTGGTTGAAAACCAAGGAGAACAGAGAGAGAGAGCGCCGCGCGGGGGGGGGGGGGGGGGGGGGGGTGGGGGGGTGGGGTGGGGGGATGGGGTGGGGGAAGGTGTGAATAGGATGGTGTGAAGAGGCAGTATGGGCCAAGGGCTGTGAGTTCCAACATGAGGCGAACTAGGGGTCAGATCCCCAAATCTTATACTGTTCTTGCCTGGAATGAGGTGGGATGCCTTCTATTGGCTAGGTGAAAAGAAGATCTTTCATCTCATGGTATTATCATAACCAGCATTTTTCTAACAAAACAAAGTGCTAATGCATTTTTAACAAATCAAAGTACTAATGCTACAACCAGTCCATATATTGTTAAGCTTCTATATATTCTAAAGTACGCTGAGTTAGAAAAAGGTTTGATCAAATAAACATGAATAACATTATCAGTCAGGTGGAAGCTTGCTGGAAAGCCAACACTTGCCAGCTCAGCCTAGGAGAGCAAGGGAATAATCTAGAGATAAGAAGCACGGACACTTTTATGAAGGTACGGTGTCCGTGTCCGACACCATATCGGACACTGACACTCCAATGACACTCCTAGATACGTGTCTGACACATCATGGCCATGTCCATTATTTAAAAATAAATTTTATAATTTCAGACACTTGGCCGACACATCTTGGACACTTAGTCGACACATCTCAGACATTTGGTGTTAGCATTTTTAGGATTCTAGCATAATGTGATTGGGAAATTTCGTAGAACAAAACTCAATGGTAATTCAATGTTTATGTTTTTAGCGAGTGAACTAGAAATAGTTAGTTAGATGAGATTATGTGTGAAGACTATGCTTGTTGAAAAAAGCTACATAAAAAGGGCAAAAAGGTACAAGATCATCTACAAAGGGCAAAACACTCCAATTTCATCTAGAAGGTCAAGGATGTCATCTTCTCAAGTCAGAGCTTAAAAAGGTAAGAATCACATTTGATATCATCTATCACCAAACAGTCTTCCTTTCCCATGGAAGACTGTTTGGTGTTCCAAGGCCCCCCTCAAGGTAGCCTTCTTTGCTTGGACATCTGTCTTGGGGAAGATTTTGACCCAGGATAATTTGAGGAGAAGGAATCAGGTGGTGGTCAACTGTTGTTACATGTGCCTAATGATGAGAAGACGGTGGATCACCTTCTTTTGCACTACACCATGGCTAGGGACTGTTGGGATTTGATGCTTGGTTTGTTTGGGATTCAGCAGGTTATGGCTAGATCCTCTAGAGGGTTGATTGAGGCTTGGAGAGGTTGTTTAGTTGGGGCACATGTTCAGGATGCTTGGAGGGCTACGCCTCTGCGTGTTTGGTGGTGTATTTGGCTCGAGAGGAATAAAAGACATTTCGAAGGAAAGGAGTTGCCTATTTCTATGCTTAAATTATCAATTATTTCCACTCTTTTTTGTTGGGCTTTAGGGAGAAATTATAGATCTTTAGAGGAGACTGTTGATTTTTTGGACTCTTTGAAGGCTTAGAGGCCTTTTTTAGGCCTTCAGTAATTCTCTTGGGCTTCGCTCCCCTTTTAAGCGCTTTTATACAATTTTACTTATAAAATATATATATTTTACTTATAAAATATATATATATATATATATATATATATATATATATATATATTTCTAGGTTCATGCATACATATGTTACATGATTAGAATCTGAAAATTGCATTTCGAACCTAAATTCTGTTTAATTTTAGTCCGCATATAAAATTAGGAAAAAGGTGTTTTTACACGTCATATATTATATATGTTACGAATGAGATTCTAGAACTTTCTCTTATATATATATATATATACTTTCCTTAAACGTATATAGAAGGTTTCTTATTCATACATTGGACCATTTACACTCACTAGGGCTTACACAAACTTGCCCTGGGGTTTCAACTACACACCCTAGAGCTTTACAAACCATGCTCTGATGCCATGTTGACTTAAAGAGATGATCAAAACAAGAGTAAAGTAGAAGAAGATAAAGAAGAAGAAGAAGAAGAGAAGGCAGAGGAGGAGAGAAAGAGAGCGAGATGGGGAAAGAGAGAGAGAATGAAAGAATATTTTCATCTTTCCACCACATTCTATTTATACCCATAAGTTTCACATATTACACAGAAGCACCCTACATTATATAAGTAATAACAAATAAGTCCCTCACAACATATATGAACTACATCTATTTTCCTAAATGGGTCTCTACACAAGAAAAAGAACCTTGGTGTTTTTCATGCTTCCACAAATTTAAAAACTCCATTTCCCAACAAAGTAAACACGCCACACAACGAACACAAAGATTTATGTGGTTCGGCGAAGTGCCTACGTCCACGGTGAAGATCCAAAAGATTTCACCATGTGAAACTCAGAGTTTACATGTTTTTAGCTCCCAAACGCTCTCCAAATGGGCTATCAGTGTTCTCTCTTAACACACGACCCTAAACGCCCTTATATACTGGGCTACAAGAGAATTCTAGAACCTGGTCCATTGCAGGGCGACCTGGGCAGAAGCAAAATTTGGGCCACAACATCACATATCTGTATCTTCCCCTCAACTCAAGAGGATGAGATGTGCCAAAGTCATCTCAACTACATGTCTTGGGTGTATTGTTTGACGCTTTGAGACGGTGCCATATCTGTGGATTATTCTAGCAAATAGTCAAATTGTTCCAGCATTGATTACATCCATGGTTTGACTGGAAAACTAGGCTGCAGTGGAACTTCTTACTTCCTAATGTTTCATGCTACTTAGTACTTACTGGTGCATCTTTAAAATCAAATTCGGTGTGAAACTCGATGGTGGAAAGGATTAATAGGAAATTGTCAGAGGTTAGGAAATTGTGTGGGTGAAGAGGCAGTATTTTTCGTAAGGGGGTAAACCAATTCCTATAAGGAGTACCTCTCACGCTTGCCTACTCATTTCGTCTCTATCTTTGCTTTCAAGCCTCTCTGTTGGGGAGAACGCATAAAAAGCTTTAGTGGGACTTTCTGTAGGCATGTAAGAGAGAGGTGTTCAAATATCTTCTTGTGGCTTGGGAATCTGTTTGTACCTCCTTACATGTTGGTGGGCTTGGAGTAAGAAAGTTGAAACAATACAATAAAGAGTTATTAGCAATGGTTCTGGAGGTATGTGGTTAAAGTAAATGGTATATGAATGTAGTGGCGGACGGAAAATTGGGAGCCGGAATAGGATAGGAGTTCCAGGTAGGTTACATGCCATTGTAGGACTCGGCTCCCGAAAAAAAGGGGGATAGAAAAGGAAATTCTCCAAATATGTAAGTTTCGTGGTAATGCCAACAGGATGGCAGTTAAGTGAGCTGGGATGGCACTTGGAACGGGGAATTACCCTGATAGTCAGATTCTAAACCCTTTCCAATTGTTGCAGATAAAGGAGATCCTTGGAATTATTTTCAGCTCACTAAGAGTGGAGTTATTTTGGAGCAACTCTTTATGACTTCATGTTTGGAAGTTGGAATCTGTGGCGATTTTTTTAAGGTTCTATATGGTTCATTGGTGTGTGGTGTGGATAGATAGAATGTTTCTTAATGGTATCCTGACAAGGACTGATTCAATGTGAGATCACCTTGTAGGTTGGCATGCGGAGGGACAGTCCAAATTCCACTGGAAAGAAACAAAAGGTGTAAGCGTCTCGTAACATTTCTTTCCTTGTTTTGACTGCTTCTTTGGAGTTGTTTATAGTTATATATATGAGAGGGAGAGAGAAGTTTCAGACTTGTCTATATTCATTATACTTGAAAAAACCTAATAAAGTGTACAAGGCTTATATAAAGAGTACAAGTCTTACTTAACTTCACAAGGGCCCCTATCAACTTTCTGTAATTACGTAATGGCCCAACATTTACATATATATATATATATATATATATATATATATATATATATATATATATATATATAACATTCTAACACTCCCCCTCAAGCTGGAGAATGTATATCAAATAATCCTAGCTTGGAACAGATAGTTCTTAACCGGTTATGACCCAATGCTTTGGTAAACATATCAGCTAATTGATCTTCAGACCTCACAAATGGAGTAGAGATGCTCCCACTTAATATTTTTTCTCGAATGAAGTGACAATCAACTTCAATATGTTTGGTCCTCTCATGAAACACAGGATTTGATGCAATGTGAACTACTGCTTGATTATCACAGAACAATGGAGTAGGAGCCTCAACTATCAACCCAAGTTCTTTTAGAAAATGTTGTATCCATGTCAACTCATTAGTGGTATGGGCCATTGCCTTATATTCAGCTTCAGCACTAGATCGAGCTACCACCGTCTGCTTTTTACTTTGCCATGTAACAAGATTTCCTCCTACAAATGTGCAGTATCCTGTAGTAGATCTCCTATCTGAAGGAGAACCAGCTCAGTCAGCATCTGTAAAACCTTCCACCCTGAGATGACCATTTGATTTATATAGTAACCCTAAACCTGGAGCTTTCTTGAGATATCGTATAATCCGAAGAACAGCAATCCAATGTGGCATTCTAGGAACTCCCATGAACTGATTTACAACACTGATTGCATATGAAATATCAGGTCGAGTGATAGTGAGATAAATTAATTTCCTAACAAGGCGACGAAACCTGCCCGGGTCATTAAATAGATCACCC